AAGGTGAGCTTTTTTTTTTTTTTTTTTTAAATGTGGACACATATTCGCTCTGATCGTATCCTTTTTTGCCTTCTTCCAGGACGCATCTCTGTACCCTCTCTGGTTATCACGACCGGACTATTTTTTCCGTTCACTGGTCAAGGTTTGAAGACTTCTTATTCCTTTCGTTCTCATTTCCTTTTTCATTTTTGACGTATTTGGGAAACTTTCATTAAATTTTGGGTATTATTAGTATCTGTTTGTTGTTCCATTTCCTCTTGTGAAATGTATTAGATTTGCTGTTTTCTCATTTTGATTTGTGGCGTTCATTATTGCAGGGAGGGAATAATTTCCACTGGTGCAGCTGATGATGCCATACGCCTATTTGTTGAGAATGAAGATGGCCTGGTATGGTGTGTACTGTTTTTTAATATTCGTCCTGTGTGTTTCCATTTCCATATTTCACACTCAAGTTTAATGCATAAAACAGTTAAACGTCTGATTTTTTTCAGTCATCATATACAGCATTTGTGTGCCTTTGTTTTATAGTCGTAATATGACTACTAGGTGAGCAACTAGTCATTATGTAGCATAGCAGCTAAAGTTATGTCCTGTACAATCAGAAAAGGAAAGAAATTTATGCGTATATATTTCACCTAACCTCAACTTGGCTATGTAATTTCCATTGCTTATTTGAAACTTCTTCTCGCAAAACTTCGGCATTGCTGGAAGCATATATTTTGTGCTTGTAAATTAATTCAAGCAGTTTTTTTTTTTTTTATGTTCACACACTATTATGTTTGTTCGTGTTGTACTTACTGCAGGTTGATGGGCCTGCATACAAATTGCTTCTGAAGAAAGAGAAGGCACATAATGTGGATGTAAATGCTGTGCAATGGAGTTCCGTGGTAAATATTTAATTACACCTCTAAAACAATTTTATGATGCAGTGAGGCACGCGAATCATAAAATTTAGTAGGTTAATTTTGGTGGGCACTAAATTTTCCTGGATGGCGATTATAGATAGTATTATGCCAAAGCCATGAACAGAAAACTTACCTTGCAAATTAGTCTAGTGTCTACTGACTAATTATTAAAACCACACTATGTTGACTAATTTTTCTTTTGAGATAAAGTAGACAAAAATAAAGGCAGAAGAGCTTTTGTGTTCTTTTTAGCTGATTTTCCTCACAATTTTCGAATTGCTACAAATTAGTCCGTATATATTCTTGCCGTGAAACATTTTTGAAGTATATAAACGATAACGTGACAGGAGAGCAAGCGTCTTGCATCTGCAAGTGATGATGGAACAGTCAAGATATGGGAACTTTGCTCATCAACTGGACACGACAAACAATAGTTTTTATCTTTTGAAGATATGTGGACTATTTTCCCTATGTTCTGTAACTAATATGAGTCTTGTGATCAATTTTAGTAAGTTACAAAGCATGAACAATTTCTTAATAGAAGATTTTTCCATCCAAGTAACTGTGCCCTCGTGTGGACGATATTTAATTTGAAGTGTTCTCGGGCTCCCTGTTCCTTTTATCCATCAATTTGGATTAGATATTTTTGGTTTTGGGCAAGGTTTTGTTACTTATGTTTTGTCTATGTACTGGGGGTGATTGGATATAAATAATGTGGATTTTGATTGAATTTATTGATTAAAGTGAATTAATTTTAAATAAAGTTGGATTGAGTGTGATTTTGAGTTTTTAGTGAAATCTATATATATATATAATTGCTGGCAAGTTTCAATAAATTTTATTCAACCAGCAATTAATAATAATAGGAGTTCATTTAATAAAAATAGGTGTTAATTTATTAAAAATATGTTAACCATTTAATAATAATATGTAACTTTTAGTTACACAATTTATTTTGACATGTCCAATTTATGGTGTTCATTTCTGTAACGTTTTTTTATGTTCTGAAATACAAAATATTTTTGTTTTTACTTCGATATTATATATTTTTTGGTATTATATAAATACATATTTCACAACTAATTAGAATGATTACAAATATTTCTATTTTCTATTGCAGTCATACAATAATAAGAAAATAATTTTTTCAGATATTATGAAGATAAATCAAATATTTTGAAAAATCAAATCCAAGAGTCACGAGTCGAAGATGTTTAACGATAATGATTTGTTGTGATGAAGATTTTGACGATAGGAAAATCACAAATGTTGTTTATAAAGAAGCGTTTAATAATATTTAGGTTCACTTTTTTAAATGATTTTTTTCTCATTTATAAAGTTATGATTTTTATTTTATTTTATATTCTTAATTACTTTCTTTTCTATTATATTGCTTTTCGTGCAAATGCACGGGGTAAAACTAGTAATATTTAAAATGTAATGGTTAATGTTGATGTGATGCTTTGAGAAAATTATTGAAAATAATAGTTATTGAAAAATATGTGTGAATAAATAAATAATGAATTAAAATTGATGTGATATGTAGGATAATTGATTGAATATTATTTAATATTGATAATATTGATAATAATTGAGTTTAAATTAAACTTAACTTGGATTTTGAATTAAGTGATTTAAAAAATTATCTCAGCCAAAATCGATTTAACTGATACCCGAGTTATATTTCAAGTTTCTCATTAGGTTTTTGCTTTACTTTTCATTTTCAAGTTCTATGAGTTATCCCATATTCTTTTATACACCCCACAAGTTATAAATTTATAATATTGTAATGGCGATATTAATGGATGTATCCCAAAAATATTTTCGGTACCTCAATCTGTAAACCAAACCATCACAGACCACGCAATCCTTTATGCAGAATGGTAAAAACTAAAAACTCGTGTTTTTATCACGTCACTTTTAGGCGACACATTTCCAAGACAACCAAAATGCAGGTAAACAAAAAAAAAAAATAAAAAAAAAATAAAAAAAAATAAAAAAAAAAATTGCATGATTTTCGCACATCCATCATGTCTATACCAAATAAATTATTAAAAAATCTATCCTCCTCAAAGCTATGTTTCACTACTATTATAAAACCAAATGCCTGTACACACACAATGATTGGTAAGATCATGAAGACCACAAGCCCTATATAGGATGCGAAATTAAGCTCTCGGGTATCGAGAGCGTCCTTTTTTCCTCAAGAACTCGGGAATTTCAACAGAATTGCCTTCCAAAAAGGACGAGGGCCTTCTGTTGAGCCCAATGCTCGAATCTCCTTGTCCCAACTGATTTGCCTGAATAATTTTCAACACGATGAGTGCTCGATTATATATATTATGGAGCAAAGGAATAAAGAGTTATGTCATGTAGTGAAAGAATATGTACCTGGAGGGCTCTACTGTCATTTTCTTCTTGACGTTTAAAACCAGTTGCAATGAGAGTTATACTGACCTGAAATAATTAGAGAAAATAATTATCCGAATTTCGGGAAGTTAACAAATTAGAAGCGCAAACCTTGGCGTTAGTGTGTTTGGTAAGCATTATAAACTAGCTTATAGTTTATTTGGTTAGCTTCCTGTATTTAGATGTTTAGTAGGACGAACTTTTTTAAAAAACTCGAGCTTATCTCATAAGTTTTCTTGGGTAGCTTTTCAAATAAGCTAGCTTACTCATTTTACCAAATTATTTTATCACATTAGCTGGTTTTTAAGCTACAAGCTATCAGCTCAAAATTCACTTATAAGCTATCAACTAATTATAGCCAGGTTTACCAAACATAGCCGTAATATTTCCCAAATATGTTATCTCAATTAACTGTAGGGACCTAATTGAGTAAGGAAACAAATTAGGGGGCTAAAGTTTGATGCAGCATGCTTTCGGGATACTCCTGTAATTTGGACAGAAATCAAGAAATGCTTGTCCTTTGTACAAAGAGATAATTTAATAAAAAAGTTTGTTCAGTAGGCATAAGTTCCCCGACCTTTTCGGTTGTGAAACTGCAACTAAGTTTAAAAGTTAACACAAGAATCTATCCGCTAGCTACATATCTAATCAAAAAGTGAATTAGAAACCACAAAAAGCTTAGCCTTAGCAGTGTAGAGTTTGTTTTCCTTTTGGTGCCTGTTTTTGACTTTGAATGGCCTGTTCAAAAGGCTATATCTAGAAATAACAGAAATCAAAATCACAATAAAAGGCAGATGGCTTGAAGCAACAGACGCAATAATAACAAGGTTTCGAAAATTTCTTGAAAAGATGAACTTACTTGACCACTTAATGATGGATCTACAACTGCACCAAATATTAAGTTGGCAGTTGGGTCCACTAAATCATATATGACCTCTGCTGCAGCATTAACCTGTGATTTCACATAAAATACATATGTTGAGAAGTTAATCTAATTATGAAGCATCTTTGATTATATGCAAATACATCCAGTTAAAGCTTTTTCCCCCCATACAGATACATATATGAGGAAACACACAGTTGAAGCTTGTCCCTCGATGAATCAGAGAAGAAGGGTTTGCTTATTGTGTGAGACTCGTTTTGATGTTTTATTTTAATTTCCAAATATAAAGTAATCTTGGTTGTTAAGAACATAAAAAAAGAGTCCCAATGAAGTGTATGGAATAAGGAAACTTATACTCATACCACAAGTATCATAAGAAAGCGAAAAAAATAAAAAAAAAAAAAAAAAAAAAAAACTAAAAGGTCGGAGGCGCAAATAAAAACTTGAAGATAGAGAGAGAAGCACCTCAAACAACGTTAAATCACTGCCACCGGTTATATTCCATACGATTCCAGTGGCTCTCTCTATACCAATATCGAGTAGAGGAGATTGAATGGCATTTAGCGCAGCATCTCTAGCCCTAGTTTTTCCTGCATTATAAAAATCGTGAAAGGCCAAAATATGAAGCCAAAATTCCAAAGTTATCATTGCATTTTCTTTTATTGATCTCAAAATGTCTCATTTTTTTCATAGGGATGAAAGTTTAACTGAGGAATATATAAATGCGAGATGGTCATTTACTGTCGATGTCTAGTTACATGAGCAAGCAAGCCAATTTTTAATCAAGCGTAAATGGAAGATACATTTTTGTGCATTCCAATCATATACAAATTTAGGGATCATAAAGTTGCGAGATTAACATGAAATGACTTCTCGACAATTACCTGTGGCAGTACCGATTCCCATTAATGAGGAACCTGCATTAGCCATGATTGCTCTGACATCAGCAAAATCAACGTTTACTAGCCCTGGGATCTGAAACAAAAGCAAATGAATTTACTAAAACCGTGGCTTAAGTAAAAACAAGGGGGGAAAAAAAAAAAATCAACCAGTATTATACTCAATACGCAGCAATGGAAATAAGTGACAATTAAAAACAGTATGTTGCAAAGCACACAATATTACATCCCTGTACAGTCAATGTGTAAACCACCAAACAAAGTTCATGCAGAGGCAATCTGATGCATAAAATATCTCGATCTTCACATTCACATAAAACGATAGTAAGCACCAACAAAATTCGAAATTACTCCTAAATCTAGAATGAATCTCATTCACACTTACCGCACAATAACATATCATCAGCACAGAGAATCCGATTTCAGTTCAAAGAACGATATTTCAAAATACTTTTCACAAAGATAATAGATATTGAAATACTAACTTGAAAACATTATAAACAATGGATAAATAATATTACATATTAAGTTAACCTTTTTCAGGCATGGCCTAGATCAACCGTACCGTGATTATGTCCGAGATACCACGAACTCCTTGCCGAAGAATATCATCAGCAAGATTAAAAGCTTCCGTCACTGGTGTAGATGGGGAAACTGCAGTCAGCAATTTATCATTCGGAATGACAATTAACGTGTCAACATTTTCTCTCAGAGCTGCAATTCCTTCTTGGGCTTGAACAGCTCTCCTTCGTCCCTCAAAGGAGAATGGACTGGTAACTATACCAACAGTCAAAATACCCATTGATTTTGCAACTCCAGCTATTACGGGAGCTGCACCGGTGCCCGTTCCCCCACCCATTCCAGCCTGCAAGTTTTACGAGGGAACTGAGTGAATTGGAAAATAATAACAAATAAATATAAATAAATCAAACAGAAGGAGCAAATTATGATGCATTTCAATTATAGTGATGCAAACTGAGTACTATGTTCTGATTGCCGTTGGATAATATCATACAATACGAGATTAATAGGCAAAAAAATAATGTTGGCGAACTGAGAAGTATATGCTGTCTAGCAGTTGCACCATTTACATATATCAATCCGGCTAGAAAAATTATCAGTAGCTATCTGTTTAGAACAGAAAATTTCAACTACACACTCAACAGACATAGGAAATAATCAAATCATCCGTGAAAATCTATAAATATCCAACTTACAAGCTCAGCGTCAGAATCCGATTTCTCAATATCTTAGGGTGTGATTGGATATTATAAAAAAAAACAATCAAAACTCAAATTTAACTCAACCGCATTACTCAATATTACCCATATAATTAAATAATACTAATCAATCATTCTTTACATTACATCAACTTTATTTCACTATTCATCCACTCACATAATTTTAACTAACAATCACTTCACATAATTTCTCTCCTACTTTTCCATCAAATTAACTTTCATTATTTTATTATAAACTCAAAATCCCACTAACAACTAACCACACCACCTTTTTCAAAAATTAACTATGGTTAACAAAAAAAACCAATCAAAACCAAATCAAATCAATATCAATCACACACCCTTAATGATTCAAACGCACGAAAAAGCATTTCCATGCTCACGACAGACCAGATGATATATCAAGATACTTCAAACAAGATGAAGTTTATCAATCAGATAATACGAACACGACCTTCTAAATGCCCAAATACCCAGTAAAAAATAAAAAATAAAAAACTTACAGTCACAAAGACCATATCCGCCCCATAAACTGCATCAGCTATGGCCTCCTTACTCTCATTGGCTGCATTCATCCCGATATCCGGGTTCCCACCCGCCCCAAGTCCCCTCGTTAGCTCCTGCCCAATCTGCAATCTGTTTTCCGGGAGAACAGGCGACATTTTCATGGCCTGCACATCCGTGTTAAGGATCCAAAACTCGACCCCTTTCATGGCACTCTCTATCATGCGGTTCACCGCATTCGATCCGCCCCCTCCAACACCAACAACCTTGATCTTAGCCTCGTTGTAATTGCTTACAGGGGTTGAGTCCCTCGAGTTTTCAGTAACAGTGCCGGACGAGCTGTCATGCCTCGGGTTTATCATGGTGGAGTTCGTTTCGCCTCTTAGTAGCGAGACCTCTGGATGCAGGTTTAGGAAAGGGTCCTTGTTCTGGAATTGGTTCACGCTGTGGGAATTTGCCGAGCATTTGAAAATCGGGAGACTCGGGCTGCATTTTTGGGTGATGACAGGGAAAGAGTTCTTTTCGTCGGCCATTTTCAAAGGGATGGCTCGTGGGCTAAGAACTGTTAACACGCCCATGGAGCTTCGCGTGTCTGAAGGGGTGAAATAAGGGTATTTGCAGGCAGCCATTGATGAGAAATCCTAACTTTCGAGTTGCCTTTTTCCTAATTACAGTAACATGAATACTAATAAATCATCAAAAACTGTACTGATAGCAAAGTACTGAAGAAAATTTTCAATCACAAACCCATAAAAAAATCACACAGGAACTGAAAACACACACACACACGCACGCAAACTGCGAAGATGACTTAGGTCAACAAAGGAAAAGTAGCAAATGGAAACGGAAAATCACCATCAACATCAGCAGCTCTGCAAGTGTCCAATAAAGATCATGAAATCGAAGCTAAAGAGTAGCAATTAACCTGAAAACTCGTTTGCGAAACTTCAAGAGGCTTTTTTGCAGATTATTTTCCCTCCTTTTTCTTCACAGCTAGAATCAAACCTGCATTAATTACAACAACCCAGTGAAAAACGAGCAGAAAAATACAGCATTGAGATTAGATATGGAGCTTTCAAGTGTCAATTTCTTGTTGGAAATGAAAGCTATAGTGAGATTTGAGCTGTGTGTGTTGAACATTTATTAGAAAATGAGAGGAAAATTAATAAAATCTCCTACTTAGGTTCACAAGAGTCTCCTTCAACAAAACTATCTATTCAAGCGGAGTGTATTTTTATTTTTTAGCACTTCAATTTTTAGTTTTATTTTAGTATTTATTATTGTTGGTTATTATTATTATTATTTTTTTTGGCTTATTTCGGTACAAGAAAATAACGAAAATAAAAAGATATTTTCTTCATATGATATGTCAATATTTTTGGAAGGACTTAGGAGGGACGGTGGCCTTATCGAGCGGGGATTAGTTGATTGGTTGCTTGTGATTTTTGATTAATCTTAGATTGAATAAATAAACTTTTTTTTTTCATCGAGCTGGTTTTTTATTTTTTAAAAGATACACTACGCCCGAAATTATGATAAAAAAAAACGATTTATGTCATTTTGTAACATTAGGGAATAGTTATTGCACTAATTTTATAGAGGATCATAACCAATTTTGTAAAATTGTTTGATAAATAATTAATAACGTTTATCAAATTAATACTATTAAATATACAAGTTTTTAGTATTATGTAGTATGTACATTCTTTATTGACATGCATGTGTACTGAAGGTAATGAGTTATAAATGAAACTTTTCAGTGACTAATTTGAAATTAAAAAATGTATACATTGTTTAGTCGCTAACATGTAAATACCTCGTGTATATACAAGGATTCAATAGAATTTCAATTCGATATTACATAAAATAATGCTTTTGGAGTTAGATATATATTTTTTATTGCCGACGATTTACATAAGGCTGTAAGAATAAGATGACATCGTGAAAAGTTAGATATCTTAGACCTTTAACACAACTTAACACATCACAATTCCATATAGCTTACAAAAAGAACATAAACAAGAGTTGAATCAAATTTTCGGTCAAGTAAAAAGAAAGTCCCTCTCCACGGACGCATCTAATTAACATGAAATTCTTTTCCCCCAATGTAATTAATGACTAATTTACAAACAGAAAGAATCAAACAAATAAAAACACGAACTAGAGGATAAGAACATTAAAAATTAAATGTGCCTCCTTTCACATAGGCCGTAAGTGGTGTCCGAATGTGGCCTGCACGCAAAACCGGTTCAATGCAGACAAACATTCGGAAGCCACTGCCCAACGCTTGAACTGCCGTAAGGGTTATTGAAGGCCCAATTATTTTCAGCCCATACGGTTACTTGTCAACTCTAATTACTTGTTCTTTTAACGAAGATTGGGCCCAGCCCGTTTGTCTATGAAGAAAGGCAAAATTTTCTATTTACCACATGAATTTAAAGTAATTACAATTTTGCGAAGGGAGAGATTTTATTTACATGTCTACCACTTGAAGTACATTTATTTGTGAAGGAATAAAATTTCAGTTACCAAACAAGTAGATTAAAGATTCCTTAAATTGCGGAGTACATTTATTTGTGAAGGAATAAAAAATCAGTTACCAAACAAGTAGAAAAGTTCCTTAAATTGCGCACGTATAGTATTTGCACTAAAATAAATTATGATAAGTTTATATACCTTAACTAATTAGGATTTTGTTCATATCAAATGGAAAGATTTAGAATTTGAAAATTCAAACGTACTAATTTTATCAAAACACAGAATATACATGATCAAGCAGGTATTTTTTTTTTTTTTTTTTTATTGTTTATTTTTTGTATTTGCATCGTGTATTGTTTTTTATATGTATATTGATTGTATATTTTCGGTCTTGTGATGATTTTTTTTTATTCATAGCATTTTTTTGTGTTTATTAATCGTATATGTTTTAGTGAATATATACATAGCATAATTTATTTAGTGAATGTATACTTAGCATATACTTAACATAAACATACATATGAAAAGGATAAACCAACATGTTGTAAACTTATACAAAACATATACTGAACATATATACATACCTTTGATTAGTTTTGCTTGAAGGCCGAGATTGAAGTTACGGGAAAAATATATTGGCTTAGTGGGTGGTTAATGAGATATGAGAGAGAAAGATTTTATTACCATAAAAATATGGATTCAGTTTTTTATGAAAAAATTGACCGTTCTCCATAACTCTCGCTAGTTAATTATTAAATAAGGTAATTAGTGATTAAATAATTATTCTAGCATTTGTGCAAATAATTATACGAGGAGTGTAATAATGTAAATAAAACATAAAAGTCTAGTGTAGAGTACAATTTTCTCATGAATCATTTCACCTCACATCATGCGGCCTGCCTGTGATTACGGGCCGCACCGGCTTGTCCCTTCACTTTCCCTCCTTTTGTTTATTATTATTCCGTTCGGTGATTCTATCCGTGACACTGCCGCGGCGCCGACCACCGTCAACGTGGCCGTTCTATCCTTTCGACACGAGTCCCTCCACGTGGAACCCTTTCTGGAGCTCCAGCACATCACCTGCACGACGTTGTTTATTAATAAATAGGGCCCACTCGGTCGTCTACTTTCTTACAGGGAGGGAAAAGTCGGAGTGTTAGGAGGGTCGGGCTGGGCTGGGCCGGGCCTGACCCGGCCTAACTATTAGGCTTGATGAGGAACGCGGCCCAGGTCTAGGAGTATCCGAGTATGTGAGTTGTTTTTCCTTTTTTTGTTTTTTTATTCTTTTCCCCAATTTCCATGGAGTGTTATTTCGAAAATGTTGCATGATTTTGTCCGCTCCCTTGAGTTATGCTTGAAATACGAGATAAATTGGGGCGTTTTACGGTATTCTTGTCGAATAATTGTTAAATTTTGAGCAAATTTCGTATTTTGCAGGCTAATGTAACGCTCGAGGGGTCTAATGTAATGTTGTGGAGAAGGTGTTTGAGGTTTTGCCCATGAGAAAGTGCGTTCAGAGTCGAGGTTCGATTTCTACGAGAAGCTTCAAAACGACAAACTGTTCAATCTAAAAAAGTTTAAAGCTTTACATTTTCATCCGCAAGACTGGTTTTTCGCCCCTTCTTTCAGAAATTGAGGAGTTTCGGAAAGAGCCCTTTGCGCGTGTTGAATCTGAGCTTCCTCACAGGAAGCAGCTCAAGGTCCTTCTGAGCTCTTTACTTTCCTCGTTGGTGGGAAACTTGGGCTGGGCCCGGGCTTGGGCCTCATCCATCTAAAAAAAGGTGAATTTCATTAATCAACTCAAACATTATTCGTGTGCAAAAGAAAAAAATGTGATTCGCCCTGTTTTTGATAGATTGAGGTGTATGTACCTCGCCTACAAATATAGTTATGATAGCTTTTGCCTTTCGCTTTACNGGCATATTGATCAGAACTTGCTTCAGGTGTTTGTTTTCCTGCCTGAGCTCGTTTAGTTCTCCTCTGACCTTGTTCAGTTCTTCTTCAAGCTCCACCGTGCGAGCCTGTACACACAATCACAATCACTTTGCTTCGCGTAAAAAATTTCGAAAAATGAAGACACCATGTAGTATCAATAATTGAACAGAGAAAAGATTTATATTTCAAGAATATCAAATATCCCTGCAAGAATTTGATTTTTGCATAGATCCTTTTAATATGCATGGGCTTCGCATAACATTTATCAAAACTTGAAAAAAAATGTCAAAGCATCTCGCAAGAATTTATTTTTTATTTTTTTGGGTCTTTATTGTTTGCTTAATCAGATTGAATAGATCCTTCGTGTAACCTTACCCGCTTTCTGGCCCTGGATCGTGCGGCCGATTGCCTGTTCGAGTCCTTCTTCTTCTGAGCCCACTGGGCCGCCTCCCTATTGGGCCCGTCTGCTTCACTCTTCCGACCCCCTGCCTGGCTCGGGCCCGCCCCATCCAATGGAACCTGGCTTTTTGGGATTGGGCTTTTCTGTTTGGGCCCAACACTCTTCCTCCGACCCCTTGCCTGGCTTGGGCCCGCCCCATTCGATGGAACAGGGCTTTTTGGAATTGGGCTTTTCTGTTTGGGCCCAACACTCTTCCGACCCCTTGCCTGGCTTGGGCCTGCCCCATCCGATGGAATCGGGCTTTTTGGTTTGGGCCCGACCACTGGCCCCCCACAGTTTGTTGTGGCCACCTGCGGGCCCAATTGTTGGTAAGCCAGGACAGCACCCATGCCCATCACGGGCCCCGGTACGAATGTGGGCCCCATCATCGGGGGCCCGTAAGCACCAGCGTACGCTGGTGGAGGATACTGCTGATGTGTCATCTGTTGCTGAGGTGGCAGCGCTGCTTCGCCCATGACCCCTGCCTGGACGAGAAATTCCTCGAAGCTCATGTCCTCCTCCTTGACCGGACCTCGTCCGCCGTGCCACGGGCTGATGACCTGTCGAGCCGCCAGCTGGACGTTGGCTGCAGATGTTGTACCTTGGGCCTGGGCTCGGGCCTGGGCCCGGGCCCGGGCCCGGGCCCGGCGTTTGATGTAGTTGACGAGCTCCTTCCTGCTAGTGGACGAGAGCCGCTGGCCGAGTGTTAGTGATTGGACGGCGGAAGGTGGTGGTGAGTTGAGATCGATGTTGACTTTTTCGCCCTTGGAGCTGGCTTCTTCAATGGAGATGATTTTGGTGTTTGTGGGTGCCATTTTTTCGTGTTGTGTTTTGTGGGCTTTGGTCTTAAAAAGGAAACAAAGACATCTTAGTCATTGTGTGCTTTTAGCTAATGCTTTTGAGGTTTAGGTTCTTTGAGGTGAAAAAATATGCTCAAATAAGGTCTCACTTTGTATTTTGCTTTGTGAAAAGGGGTTTTGGGAAAAATGGGAGAGGGGGCAATGCTATCTGTATTATGTGTTTTCAAATTTAATGCTATCTGTATTATGTGTTTTCAAATTTCAATCACTTGTGTTTATGGTTTTCATTTCAGATAGTGTGTGTCTGAACCATGAAGAGAATAAAGAAAAAAAATGTTGTCTGAGCTTGTTTTGTACATGTTTGAGTTCAACAAGCCTTCAAACTATAATTTCCAGTGTGAATTTGTTTTACCAAGTATTAACAAAAATAGGAAAGTTAGTTACATTTAGATGAATCAAAATATAGATGTGAAACACTAAAGATATTAAAATTACTGGCAAGTTTAATACAACATAGTATGCATGCATATAATGTTTACTAATTAGCAGTGTTCTAAAAGTCGCTAGGCGCCCGCTAGGCGCTCAACCAGTGCCTAGCGCCTAGTCAGGATCTAGACGGCGTTTAGTCGGGACCTAGAAATCAATAGTAAATACCTTATTTTTTATTTATTTTAACTACTTACAAAATAAAATTATCTCAACATATAATAAATTCACACACGAAAGTCCAAATAATAATATTAATATATATTAAAGAAAACATGAGAACAAAATAATGTAATTAATATTTAAAAAAATAAAAAAAAAAAAATTGAAAAATTGCCGTCGAGCCCGCCTAAGAGCGACTAGGTCCACCTACGCCCGCCTAGACGCCGCCTGGCCGCTGAGCCCGCCTAGGAGCGGCTAGGCGGCGCCTAGGCGAGGCCGATTTTTTCTGCCGATTTATACAAATCGGAGGCGCCCGTGCATCGCTTAGCGTCTAGGCCGATTTTTAGAACAGTGCTAATTAGTTTCCACTGCAAAGTAACATGTGTAGCTTGGTGTAAACTGGAGGTGTAATTTTGAGATTCATTGAATAAGTGTGGTACGTAGAAAAGAAGCATGCTGATTAATTAATTCTAAAAAATCTAAAAACTTTAGTTTGTTCTTACAAATATATATAGAAATAACAAAGATATAATTTATATTTAAATTTGCTTCCTCAAAGTTTTGATAATGTAGTTGTTATAAATATATACATAATTTGATTTTAAAATAAAAAATATTAATAAAATTTTGAATTCTATAAATCGGTTGGGCCGTGTTGACCTATTAGGGTCAATGCTCGAGTCGCCTAGATCAAGACCAGGTTGAATGAATTTGGATAGGTTACTCTATATTTGATTGGTCGCAGGTTGAATGAATTTGGATAAGGTTAATATATTTTATTGGTCGGCTTGCTGACTGGTCTCTGTAACCCTTCTTGATCGGGTCGACCCGTCAAACAAAAAAAAATACAAATTATAATCATTTTATATTAGTGATCCAATAATCATTTTCGGAATTTATATCTATGGAATAGCATAAATCAGTTAACCACGTTTGGCAATTGATTAAGTCTAACATATATAGATATAAAATAAAACAGACTTTATCTATGATTTCTAATTAAAAAAAAAGAAAGAAAGAAAGAAAGAAAGAAAGAAAGAGATCGAAGCCTCGAAGTGGTCCTTTATATATAATAACTAATACATATTAAATAGCATATATTTAGCATAAAATATGTAAACCTTGATGTATATGTTTCACTTACCATAAACAATCATTTTAATTATGCATCAAATACGTAATATGAAAAATAAATTCTCATATAGTTTACAAACCTATAAGGGAAAAAAAGAAAATTTAAACTCCAAAGCATATTTTTTATAAATAAAAAATTAGTAAACCTAATAATAATAGTATGTCTAATATAATGATTAAAAATATCATGAAATGCATAGTATCAAAATAAACGGTTTTGATTATAGAGCTATCGGATGACTCAGTTTATGGAGCCATCCATAGTTATCCACAAATGTTGTATTGACACGTGTCCTGCAATAAATACACATTAAACACGTATCAATACATAAAGTTATGGATGACTCCATAACAGAACCATCCGATGGCTCCATAACATTTCTGTCAAAATATATACCTTAATAAATATTAAACTATTATATACCATCAAATAAATTAAAACCTAATAAATATAACTTATATTAAATTATATTCCACTTTATTTGCCTATATTATCTCATATATTGCTAGGGTATACAACTTAATATTACGTTTATATAGAATACTCACAATTTTTTTCCTTTATTTTATTTTTTACGGGGAACGGCCGGATCCAGGCTAAGCCGACTCGGCACCGCCCCTCATCT